TATCGCTTTAAACCCCCCCCCCCCCCCCCCCCCCAACCAACTCAAAAATATTACTCCCTCCTGTCCAAAATAGTGATTTTTTGGATGTTTTCACACAAATTAAGAAATCCACCTTTTAGCATTAATTAGCTATGGAATTGACCATATTAACTTTTACTATCTCACATAAACACTCCTAACACATATTCCAACACCATTTACTTCAAAGACAATGTAGGAAAAAAATAATTAATTCATTCTTGAAATCTGAAAAAATCACTTATTTTGGACCACAAGAAAAAGGCCAAAAAATCACTTATTTTGGACTAGAGGGAGTATTAGTCCCCCCCACCCCCCCACCCCACTCAAAAATATTACTAGTAGCTGTCAAATGCATGCCAATTATTCCCTTTTTCCTCCCAACAGTTCGAATCTATATCCTTGGACTTGCCAAGAATACCTTCTTTTTCCTTCGTTTCCACGGTTTTTTTTTTTTTTTGGGGTCGGGGGGGGGGGTGGTGGGGGGGGTGGTGAGAGGAGGGGGTGAGCTTGTAGCTTTAATAAAATGCAGCATTTTTAGATCACGAACATTTTTGCGGCAAGTATTAAGGTCAAACATTTCTCGAGGATACTCTAAGCTTAGGCATAATGGTACTATAGTTAATTGGCTTAAGGGGCTACACGTTCTCCATCAAATGATTTTGAACTGAGCATCAATGTTATATTAAGAAATTTAATTTGTACTTGTGCTATGAAAATGAACATTTAATTTTTCTCTAAGATGTGGATTAATTACCTTGCTACGCCTCTATATTTTGACACTCCCCTTGAAAACCCACTGCTTTTTCTGTAAATATATCATGAATACAAAATTTTATTAATTAGCTAAGTAAAATTAAAGAAGAAGTTAATGATTCTCTTCTTTTTTCCCGGAAATCAACATGTACCTTCTCAAAGAACCAATATATTCTTCTTTTGATTGAGCTTCCATTTCCTTTAGCTCTTTTTCGTACGTCAACACCTATATTATTTTCAAAATAAAAGAACTGTGATTAGACAAGGTTAAAAAATTATACATTACTGAGGAAATTAATAAGCAAATTAAAACACAAAGATCTGAGTCCAGATTAATTACGGGAAAATTAAGGATGGTGTCTTGACCCCAATACTTCAACGCCGCCAAATCATATGCATGTGCAGCTGCTTCTTCATCATCGTAAGCTCCTGAGAAAAAATAAAATTTAGAAAAAAATCAATTGAATTCAAAATCTCAGTTGTAAGTTACTGTAAAGGTGACATTTGCAATGTATGTTATTAAATTGGTGGGCCTAGCGTCGGCAAAGGCTTAATGTGAAAATGATATGTTCATGATAATATTGAAAAAAATTAGAATGATAACGATAGAAATTAAACTTACCCAAATAAACTGCATTTTAGTCGGATTTTGTGATAAGCACGATTTGCGCCAGCGCAACCAATGTATAGACGCCAAAACAAAAAGGAAACTTTCCATCAATAAAATGTAGTAGTTCAACAACATCATATCTAATAACTGATCTCTAAATAGGTCACTAACCAAAAAAATTAAAATAAAATAAAGAAGTAAGAAAGAAAAAAATGCTGAACCTTGTCTTCCTTTTTTGTTCTGAGTTTCGTTCCAGCAATTTTTATCCCATAAATGAGCTTCATATCGGCCCGTCCACCGGTGCCTATATATGATCAGAATAATTAAATGACACAATTAAAAGGAAAAAAAATTAGAGAAAATATATTATACCGAGTGACGCCTCTGTAAATGGAGCTACGTTGTGGAGGAGAGTCTCTGGGAACACTCTTACGCGTTCGTTTCGCTTTGCCAATGGCATTGCCATTACTTTTATTACTAGAAGAAGACGAAGAAGTAGTAGTACCATTCTTCTGATTACACTTTGAGGTTTTCGCCATGAAAATTATTAGTACAGAAAAAAACAGAGCTGGAATTGAATGAGTCCTCCAATAAGAAAGGGGAATGAGATGAATATTTATATGAATAATGATACAAAAAGAAGATTAATATAATAAGGGAAGATTTAAAATGAAGAGAAAGATCGAGGAAGGAAGAAGGTGGCAAAATAGAGGAGGAAAGCCGGCGGAGGAAATGGTGGTTTTTTGTGGATGGCCGTCTCGTCTCTTATAAGGCAGGCGAGGCTCTGTTTTGTGTGTTTGTAGCTATTTTGTGTTTCTTCTGAATTGTCTTCACTACTGTTCCTTTGCCCTTTCTTTTTCTCTCTGTTTTATTTGATGATGTTTCTCTCTCTCTCTGTATATGTATATTCTTCAGATTTATTTGGCCTTTCCGCTTTTTCTGCCTTGATTTATATATCCTTTTACTCAATCAGACTTCCCTAATCCCATTTAATTCTTTCTTTTCTTCCTTTTTCCTATTTTAATTTCCCACGCCTCTCTCGGATTTTAGGTTAAAAATTAGGTGCAGTATTTTAGCTCCACCAAAAATCCTCTCTTCTATCTTTTCCTTATTACAAATATATGAATATATGATATATGTCTTCATTATATTGTTATTATTAAATCATATATATTCTTACATTAACTTATCACATAACTATGATAGATTAGTATGATTAAAGGTAATATCGGATGCATTTAAGTTTTTATCGTTTATGATCATTTTGATCTAGAAAAGAATTTTGAAAAAGAAAAAAAAAAGAAATTGAAAGAGTATTTTTTTTTTTTGGTTTCCCACCCGGTGTCCGGTACCCGCATTGGAGCCCGACTATATCCAGATTCGCGCCGCGTAGGGCCCCCTTCGGGAGGAAGCATTCCCTACCAAGGATTTTGTTTATGTTCATTTCTGTTCCACAAAGGAGGCAACTTCTCAATCATTGCTGCTACTTGAAATGCTTCATTGATAACAAGACCTTCAAAGAAATTTCTATTAGTAAAAATACCAAGATTACTACTTTCAACATCAATATTAATTTGAGTTATACCTTCAGCAAGGAGATCGTGAATAATCACTTGCAATTCCTGGACTTGGGTAATAACAGACTTGCTATCTACCATTTTGTAGTCCAAAAACTTTGCAGCAACAAACTTTTTCAACCCGGCATCTTCGGTTTTGTATTTCTTTTCAAGCGCAGTCCACAGTTCCTTTGACGTTTCCACGCCACTGTAGACGTTATACAAAGCATCCTCCAGCCCGCTTAGAATATAATTCTTGCACAAAAAATCTGAATGCTTCCACGCCTCAATCACGAGAAAGCGTTCAGTTTCTGGAGTTTCGTCGGACAGCACAGGAACATCTTCCTTGATGAACTTCTGGAGACTTAGAGTAGTCAAATAGAAGAACATCTTTTGCTGCCAGCGCTTGAAATCAATCCCGGAAAATTTTCCGGGTTTCTCCGCCGGTGCCAATGCTGCCGTTGTCGTTCGACTTGTTGAGGCATTGGCAGTCACCATTGGAACAGCTTGGTTCTCATGTTCATTAGTCATTTCTGTAAAAGAATGACACAAACGTTAAAATCACGTAGATTTTAATAGAGTACAAAACCACAAAGGTTTTACTCTTCCAGAAACAGTAAGTACAAATACAGAAATCAAATTAAATTCCTTAAGCTTGTTAGTAGACTGTATTTGTAAAATAATTCTGGAAATATAAATGAGTATAAACAGAAATGAACATAAACAGAAATGACATAAAACCAATTCGAGCCCACTGAATTCACAGTGTTTCCTTAAGGAATTTAATCCCCTCCTAGTACCCAAGGTTATGGATTATTTCCTCCCAGGATAGAAAGAATTACACACTGGTGTAGTGGTACTTCAAACCCCAGTGTTTCAGCGAACACAAAGTTCGGTAGCAAATCACACTTACTTTTTGCTTTGTTTGATGCTAAAAGTATGCAGAAGAAGGAGAAGAAACTCAGAAAATCGTAGTGAAATTCTGAGCAGAATAGTGTTGTATTTATAGCCAAAGTTGGGCTGAAATCTGAAGAGGCGCAACTCTTCAGAATGGTTGTTTATGCAAAACGCCCACAGCATAAATGTCATTACATAAATGGCCATTTACTCAATAATAAAGAGGGAAAATTGAAGAGGGTAGTTACTTTTCTGTTACCAAAACAGAAAAACGGATTGGATTTAATATTAATATTCTGTTATTAAAACAAATATTTAATAACACTTCTGTTATTATTAACAAATAAATTTGGTCCAAAAAGTTAATCAATCAATCGATCATTTGACCAAATCCAAATCCAAATCCAAATCCGAATCCGAATCCGAAGCCGAATCCAAATCCGAAGCCGAAGCCGAAGCCGTAGCTGAAGCCGAGCCGAGCGAGCGACGACGACGACGGCGCGAGGCTTACCTTCTTCTCAACTCTTTAAGAGCTAGAAGAAGAGCAATTGCTTATATACCCATAAAAAAACCTCTTCCTCTTCCAATATGGGACAATGCCCATTTGCCAAGGGGGGAACTTAAAATTTCACTCAAAAATTTTATTTTCCTCCATTTCCCATTCACCCTCTTTTAAGTATTTAATATATATTAATTAAATACATCCAAAACCCAACAAGATGTCGAGCATGTTGGCAGTGGATTGCGTAAGGATTATGTCAATAGGAGATTAAGAATCCTGGTAAATTCCAGAGTGATGTAATAGCGGCTTCGAGCTAAGTGGGAGAGTCCCACCTCCTATGATGGGGTCGCATGGTTAATTACCTGCGAGGTTTCTGGTTATTAGCATATTGCTGAGCTGTTTCAGCTACGGAAAAGAACATAAGTGGTGAATTAAGCAAAAGGATTATTAAAGGTGGGCTATCGTTGGCCTTATTGGCCCATGTCCAGACTTGGGGAAGGATTCAAGATTGTGTTTGTAAAGATGCGGGTTCCAAGAGAAGGGATTCTGCCAGGTGCATCACCAATGGGGTATTCATGTGCTAGAAGATTTATGAAATTGATTATATTCGGGACCAAGTCAGAGCGGGTGGCCCTCAGTAACGGTTCTGATGGGTTCAAAAAAAAGATGAAGTGTGATGCCTAATGATTTCGAGCCTATGGATACGGTTTAGAATGGAGCTTGATAGCAGCCTATGAGAAGAGGCACAGAGTGTTCTATGATGTTTTGACTTGCAGTGTAGAACTTGAGAGGAGAATGAAAAGAGATTTCGGATTTGTAATAGGATTAGCAGAATTGTCATGTCAGTTGAGGGTGCGAATATGCGCGCAAGGAAGGTATGGATTTATCCGTGGGATTTGAGACAGCATGGTCTCGCGATTCAGGGTCACTCGGGATGAGTGCGGATGGAGTATGTTATGTGTTGGATGGAGTTAGTATTATCTCTAAGGCAATCAAGGATAAATTGGAAGAAGGTAGATTGATTAGCCATAGTTGAATTTGGCATATTGGTGTTAGTGATTAGTTCCTTCAGCGTGACCGAGTTATGCGAGTGATTTGTGATGGTACGTATCGGGCTTGTCAGCCGCCGCAATTGATGTTATTCAGAAGCATTCTACTGTTATAGCTTGTTATGTGGAAACAGATTTCGGAAGGGCGATGGTGGCTTAGATCGCTACTTAGAGATTTGCATATTCTACGATTATGAGAATTCACCTGTGTGATACTATGGATCTCCTAAAGTGAGTTAAGTGAAAAGTTTTTATATGATGGAGTGTTAACCTATTAGTGGTTCCGAAGCTATAATGGAAAATGAGTTCTATCGTATATTGGCCTGTTAAGCGCAGTGAGTGGTATGGAATTTGCAGTGAAGATCAAGGTAGCAGCTCGGCATGGACAAGGATGTCACGAGCTCAGATGAGCAGGGAAGGAGTTCCGATGTTTAAGGTAAGTTGGTATTGTCTTCAGCGTCACCTGAGGTTGGTGTTTTGTAGAAAGGGCTCGTATCATGGTTAATGATTCTTGATCGCTTTTCAGCGTTAGTGCGGCCGGTGGTTTGGAGGTACGACCCAACTATTTGTTATGGTAGGTTGTGGGAGCGTGTCCCCCAGGAGGATTGTATAAGTGTGGCAGGTAGTCACTTGATGGATTGAAGAACTTAAACCGAGTATGAAGATTTGTGATGATATCGATAAGTTGAGAATATGTGCCTGGAAGGCACTCAGTTACTGAGTTGTGGACTGTGGACGAGAACTCCGGTTATGATGGTTGTCTTGCGTGTTATGAGAAGGGGGAAATTAGTATGGACCTTTGAAAGGTTATTGGTTTAGTTGATATGATCGGGATCGACTTAAGATCGATGGATGAATTTAAATGTGAATATGGGCTCTATGTCAGGCCAGTTGTGTTCATTTCAGTAATGTGCTCCTTATGGAGTAGTCAGGGTGTTATTTCGTTGCCAAATATTTCATGTAATGATGCGTGGCGCCGTGTGAGTTGTGAGACGGCTTGAGAAATTGCTTACGTGCTGAGGATCCGCGCAGAAATGATGTTATATGAGCCAAAGGGCTCTTGAGATTCAGATTGTATATCGCACCTCAGTTGTGCTTGGGTTTCGTAGCTTATAGCGCTACATGTTCCCTCAGGGATGTTATTATGCACTTAGCGTGCTTGTGACCGAAATTTGATATTTTATTGTAATGGGCAAATTTGGCTCGACGTGCAATCTCTTTACGTGAGATCTATGTTTGGATCGGGTTGCGCGCCGCAATAGTGTGATGTTGAGTATAGTTTTCTATATGCTATATTCGTGCGTCTCGCTTCCTATTTTCTAAGGAAAGTCCGTATTAGTGCGGGAGTTAGGTAATTCCTTCCAGTAGTTCGTTTTCCTTGGTATCGCGTTCGAATTGATGGCCTATTGGCTACATTGTGGCATCATATGAGACTTTTTCATTAGTGTTCGGGGTGGCTTTATTGCCTGAGCGGTTCNCATGTTCAGACTTGGGGAAAGATTCAGGATTTATGCCTTGTATAAATGCAGGTTTCAAAGGAAGTAATTCCGCCGGGTGCCTCGTCGAGAGGGTATTCATGTGTTATAAGATTTATGGAGTTGATTATATTCGGGACCAAGTCAGAGCGGGTGGCTCTCAGTAACGGTCCTAATGGATTCAAAAAGAGGTAAGGTATGGTGCCTAATGATTTCGAGCCTATAAGTACAGTTAAGAATCAAGCTTTGCAGCAGCCTATGAGAAGAGGCACCGAGTGTTCTATGATGTTTTGACGTGCAGTGTAGAATTTGAGAGGAAAATGAGAAGAGATTTCGGATTCATAATAGGATTAGCAGAATGGGCATATCAGTTGAGAGTGCGAATATGTGCGCAAGGAGGGTATGAAGTGGTTCGCGGGATTCGGGACAGCATGGTCTCGTGATTCGGGTCACTCGGGATG